AAATATAAATTTTTTATTTTAATGTATTAAATAATTGAAATTAAATTTAAAAAATTATTTTACATAAGAAATTTTTAGCTAAATCTATGTATTTTAAATTAAAATATTTCAAAAAATACATAAATGAATAAAAAAATTTCTCACACATACACTGTTTATGTATTATTTTGTTTCAAATTCTAAGATGATCATTTTATTGTGAAATTAATACAAAAAGGTCAATATAATATTGATAATAAAGAATAAACTAACAATTTTTTTAATTGATTTCTTTAATCTCTAATTAATTTTTATTTCATTTTCTTTACACATAAAATGAATATGATTATTGTAAATATTCATTTGAAGACTGCTTATTTATTGATGTTGGTGTAATTTCTACAAAGTGAAGCTTCAATATTTTTTATATTTCAATGAGCTCTATATCAAAATTTAAAGTTTACAAAATAAATAAACTATATGAATGTTTTTTTTATATCATCAATTATGAGAGAGTAATCTTATTGTATGAATATAATATCATGTTGAGCCTCTAATAGGTTGCTGAAAATCAATCTTTCGTCTCAGTAATTATCATCGAGTTAGCCTCACACATATACATGAAAAACTTGATGTCATTTTCAAATTGGCGTATAATATAACTGCGAAATCTACACATGCTTTAGGTCTTATTGTATTTGCAGCCCAATTTTTAATCATATGGATGCCAATCTCTGCAACATGTACACTAAGATATTGGCACTTCAAGCTGATGCAGAGATCCAAAAGAAAACTTTCTTAACTTTAACCTCAGCCACTTCATAATTCATATATCGGTATGTTGAAGACTCAAGATTATGGAGGTGTCATGTGAGATGATAATTACTTGTGTCAGCCAACTTTGGCGTTTAGAGACTTGTACTTGAATCTCCAACATGAATGATCTTAGACGAGTGTTCATGAACGACAAAAAATTACAATTCTAATGAGATTTCTGATTTTCTAACAAGGTCTCGATGCAAAGTTAAATCTCATGGGGAGAACTCTTTTGTATGTGCCTCTCATACATTCATGAAAATTTTATACTTAACTTTATATAATTAAATTGATCAAAAACTGAATTCTTTGCTTAGCACAAGCATATATAGCTTGAAGAAGAGAAAAAATTTCAACCTTATCTCATCATATTTCATCAAATTCTAATAAACATATTGAAGTTATATAAACATTTAACATTTTAAACGTAACTTCAAGATTGCATTCAAATATTCACAATTCATAAAGTTATACAAATTTTGATCATAATATATGTATAAAAATATATCATGCATATTTTTATTTGCAACATTTTATATTTTTATTATTTATTTCACAATATTGCATCTTAATAATCAATTCATACTCTAAAATATATTGAAAAGCTAAAATCTATTTGACTTTCTTGGATAATTTTGAACACTCGTAAGTTTTTGTCAAATAATTTAATATTTTTTTTCTTATGATATTTTTATACTTTTTTTATAACAATGTTATTTGTTTCTATTTTAATGAAAATAATGAGGAATCTTGATGACATGTAGGATGTGATAGCATTATATCAATGTCAATTATCACCTCATAAGTGAAATAATCTTAACATACAGAATGAAATGATGTTAGGTTTTTATTTATTTTAGTAGGTATTGCTGATAATGATGCCAATGCAAGTGCAAAATTGTAGATTTGGAATTGATAAAAATAGATGGACCAAAATTTGGGATAGTGAAAAAAATATTATAGTGTGAGAAGATAACTTTGATTGTGGAAGGGTGTAGAGTAAATTGAGTAAAAATAAAATAAAATAGTTTCATCTATCACTTTAGAGAGCCATAGTTGAAAAACCTATACTCTTACTTCATGAATTGAATCAATGAGATTTTTAACAAAATTTTCAACTTTGTTTGTCTTGCAAATTTTGGCATCTTTTTCAAATTTTTCAAATTTTATCATATTAAATAATTTTTTTACTTAAAAGAAATATAAAGTCTAATAAAAGTTGACATTTGAATTTTGATTTTAAGATTTGTTAAAAAATACAATCTTATCGCTTTGACAAAATTATGAATTCTTATATATTCCAAAATTTAAACACAAAATATCTTAAAACTAAATGTATGATTTATGACATTTATCACATACACACAGAATAATTTTCAATAATTATTAAAATTTAAAAAATCAAAGAATTTTTTTATTTATTATTAATGTATTTTTAATTTTGAACAAAATTAATCTTTAAATTTATTTTTTTGAAATATAATTCTTTTGATATATTTACAATTTTATATCAAAATAATAATAAAATTGAATTTTATTTAAGAAAAATTCAAATTTATATTCAATTTATTTTATGATTTTACTTTAGAAGCATTATGGATTGCAAATTAAGTCAAAATATTAGTTATAATTTGCATGATTTTTGAAAAATATTGGCAAAATTACTAATTTAGATTAAAAAAAATTTCTAAATAAATTAATCATGATTTTCAAAATATTAAATAAATATTAAAATTAAAAATGATATTAAAAATTTTTATATAATATAAATTTTAATATGTTAATCTTTATTTGATTTTATATTAAAAAATCGCAGATGATTTTTATAGTCAATAAAAAATAAAAATTTTTAATCAAATTATTGTGGATTATATTTGGTTATATGAACGTAAATCTTGATATTTTATAAAAAAATTGATAAAATATGATTAACATAAAAAATATGAATATTAGTATAGAAATATAATTATTTTTAAATAAAATATTTTAATGTGTTGCATTTAAAAAATTACTTTCATATCTAGTCTCTAATCAGTTCATAATCTAAAATATTAAAGTTTTTTGTCAAATTATCGTCTTTATCAAATTATGTTGTTTGTTAGACAATGTATTGAATAATTTTTTTATTATCAAATGTTGATCTTGAACAAGATGAAAAAATCATAAACTTGTTTCTTCATCAATAGACATAACTTATTTGCATTTTAATATCATTTGCATGACTTTTCATTTTTGTTTTATGGTAATATTAAAGTTAAAAACATTTCAAGTATTACATAGAATATGAGTTTTCTTTTTAATATATTATAATATCATACAACGTAGCATTATATATATTATATCAAAATAATTCATTATTTATACAAAATATTAATTTATTAATATGAACTAGCAAAATTGAATAATGTCAATTCCACATCCCATGCTTAGAGGTCTACAAAATTGCTTTGGCTAAGAAGTGAAGTTTACTCATGGTGAATAATGTCACCAACAACGCACCGCGCCTTGGCAGCATATGTCTACATTGGAATTTTTTTTCAATTTGAACGCGGTTGGTGATTAGATTACTTTAATGAAATTGAAATGTAATTTTAATAGTTAAATATAAATAGAATAAATGAAAAATTACATGAAAAATTATTTTTAATAAAAAATAAAGATGTTAAAAGAAATTTATCAATATATATAATTTGGTTTTTAATTATAAAATAAACGTACCAATAAAATTTTTATTTCATAAATTTTTTTATGTCTGAAATAATTTAATTTAAATCAAGAATTCTTTATACATAAATAATTTTTAGCTATATATATTTTTTTCCATTTGAAATATTTCAAAATTACATAAGTGAATGAAAAATTTTCTCACACATACACGGTTGATGCATTATTTTAATTTAAATTCTCACATGATCATTCTATTGTGAAAATAATACAACAAGGTCTATGAATTATTGATAATAAAAAATTTAATGGCAAAAAGTTGTTAAAATAAATTTGATTTAATTTTTTTAAAATTTACATATAAAATGAATATAATTATTTTAAATATTCATGTGAAGATTGATTATTTATTGATGTTTGTGTAATTTCAACAAGGTGAAACTTCTACATTTTTTGTACTTCAATGAACTCTATGTCAAAATTTAAAGTTAAAAATAAATAAATTTACATGAATATTTTTTTGAATATCATCAATTATGTGAGAATTTAAAGTCATATATAAATTCAACAACAGAATCGTGTTCGAATGTGGAAGTCTATAAATAATTCAAATAGATATTACAAGATTACTCAATGTTTTACATTTATGTGAATCGATAAATTTTTTAGTTGAATGGGCGATTTCAAAATATTAACATAGTCGGTGAAAAACAAAAAATTGCATGCCATAATGATAGATGCAATAATTGCCAGAAGAAAACTTGCAATATCTAAATATAATGAATCTCAATATCAATTTACTGATCAGATATTTGACTAGCATGATTGATCAAAGAATTCGAATTTGCCAAGTTTTTCGATAGCATGATAAGTAACAATGTCATTTCAGGGCACACAATTTTCCATGGATAAGTTTCAACAGTTCAGAGGTATTCATGCAAAAGTTCAAGGGTGATTTATTTGCGCCAGGCACTCATACAATGTTGTTTTAAAGGTCACTCGCATGTGTCGAATCAATTTTGTGGTGCGTGGAATCCAATCCTATAATAATAAATAAGGTGCTTGGACCAATGGAAGATAACAAATTCACCCAACTACACGTAATCATGCAAATGAAATGCGATAATGCATATAATTGCCCTCCACCATCTTCTCATCGAGATTCCAAAGATATCGGATTGCAGGCTCTCTAACTTCAAATAGCTTCACTCTGAAATGTGATCTTCAGGACATTGGAAAGAATGTGATCTTCAGGACACCGAAGTAGAAGGAAGTAGGAGCCCCGAGTAATACCAACACCTTCGTGCCATTCGTAGTCTCTAGTCCAGAAGACCTCTCGCTTCTCGGGATTGACAGTCACCCGATTACGCGTCCCTCTCAGCGTCAGAATTACGGTCGAGTTTCAGTCCTCAGGCACGAGAAGCAAGTGATAAGTACTCTCTGTCAGACAACCAGACACGTGTTCTCAGCGGGAGCCGAGTGGGGCAGTGTGCACCCAAGAAGCAAAATGATTCATTCTCCTGCATCAGTGCATACACGACGACGCAGAATCGTATACTCATGTATACGACGTCGGTGCGCGAGTATGTACACGGTCTATGCCGCAATCAGAACGGAAAGGTAGAGGATAGGGGGCCCCTTGCAGACCTCGGACAGGGCGCCAAGGAGCGGGGAGGAAGCGAACAGGAAGTAGGAGGGGGAGGAGGAGGAAGGGGAGGAGCAGGAGGAGCAGGAGGCCAGGAGCGATGGCGAGTGTGGTGAAATGGCATGTTCCCCCTGCGAGTGGAGTTTCTGGGCTCGGGAGACGGTTGTCGAGCGATTTCAGCTCGGTGGGCCGAGAAGCTCAGCTCAACTTTCTGAGCTGCAGAGGCTGCAATCACCTTCTGCCGCGTGTGAGTGCTGCTGCCAAAGGAAATGTGAGGCAAAAGCAGAACAGAAGCTCGAATTCCTCGGAGCCCAAAATTAAATCTCCTGTAATTGTAGCGCCGGGTCCTATCTCTGCACCTTCCCTCACTGAATTGTCATCTGAAGATGAAGTTCAGTCGGCTGTAGATAGTTCAGTCAGTGCGCAAAATTTGGAGTCCAGGAGATTGTCATCTTCTCAGTCCTCGAGCTCAGGGGGTGGTCCGTCATGGAATTTAACACCGCGCAGCGTTGGAAGAAGGGTACTACGGGAACTTTCGTCTCTGCAGCTCGCCATCGGGGAACTCTTTGCTATCGCTGGTCTTTCAGCTCTTGGTAAGCTTTACGGCTGTGGCATGTTTTGGTGTCATTGGCAGCTTTGCGCCGTTCATTTTCCTAATAGTGTAAAATGCCATCAATCTCCCAGGTACAATTATTGAGCAGAATGAAGCTCCTCAATTTTACTTTGAGTCATACCCCGAGGATAAACCCCTGTTCGGTTTCCTCACATGGCGGACAATTTTGGACTTTGATCTCAACCACATTTACTCGTCATGGTACTACCTTGGCTTACTGCTTCTTCTGGCTGCTTCATTGATGGCCTGCACTTCGACCCGTCAATTACCGCTCGTCAAAGTTGCCCGCAGGTAAGATTTTGTTATGCAATTCCTCGTCGTTGCTGACCCAGTTTGGTGAGGCATTTGAAGAGTTCGCTTTTCTTCGGCTGTCGAGTAGTATGCCGACTGTGGTATTGCTTTTTCGGTTGAATTCTGAGGAATTTGGATGGTGTGTAGATGGTCTTTCATGAAATCAACAAGCAGTTACAAAAAATTGCAAATATCAGATACTCTGGAGAAAGCCAAGCTTTCCGATCTTGCCACGCTGCTCATGGCTGAAGGATTCGAGGTATGCTTTTTGAAAGCCCTAGCTGCATATTACCGAATTACGAATATAGTACTTATCCTCACCCATGAATTACGTTTACTCGTGCAAGAACGTCCACCTTTTTCCAAGTGAAGGGGATACTATTTTAAAATTGCAAATTTAAGGTCGTAAGACGCTGAGCTAAGAAGAATAAGATGTTTTGGTGTGTCGACAGGTTTTTGCTAGAGGTCCTGCACTGTATGCATTCCGTGGCTTAGCAGGAAGGTATGCGCCAATTGGGGTGCATTTAGCGCTGTTACTGATCATGGCTGGAGCAACACTTAGTGCTATTGGCGGTTACCACGGTACTGTTATGGTCCCTCAAGGCCTGAGCTTTCAGATCGGAGATGTCCTTCAGCCCAACGGGATTCTCGCAACGCCATCTCCAGTGATGAATCTGCAAATACATATTGACAAGTTCTACATCGACTATCGACCTACTGGAGAGGTACCTTCTCGAATGTATACGATATAATCTGCAAACAGATTCTATTCTTTGGACTTAATGATGTATAATTCGTCAGGTTTCCGAGTTTTCCGGGGGAAAACCATCACGGTTTTTTCCTTATCTTTCAGACGGCATTTAGCGTTCCAAGTCTGACATGAAAAAGATATTGAAATGACTGAGAAATATATGAAAGATAGAGTGTCAAACTTCAAGTAGCGATTTAAGGTCCTGCATGACAACTCAAGTTTAGAAGGCGTGGAAAACTACTCATCGGAGTTCAGTTTTAAGGTTTGAAGGAGCACAGGAAGGAAGCTCATGATTTGAGTTCATTATTAAATATCTTTCAATTTTGCCTAAAGCGTAGACCATCGTTCAAATGACCAGGACATTCGGCCTGGTTGTCAAGTCGGAAACCGAACTCTCTTTTGACCAGACTTGAAGGTTACGCCATACTCGACGGTCGAGTAAAGCAGAGAAGCTCTATGTCACATCTATGGTTACTAAACCTATATTGGGAGCTTGTGGAAGCTCGTCGTCACATTAGTAGCATTAATTTAACTTTAGTTGCACGTGGCAAGATATGAATAACCGTTGTCATGCAATATGTGATGAACAAGACTCAGTGCACTGTAAAAGAATGGTATTTAAACCTTCAACTTTGCCATTGTCCAGGTGTCACAATTTCATTCTGATCTTTCGGTAGCAACCCGCAAGGAGCAAGTGTACAAGAAAAGCATTGCGGTGAATGACCCCCTTCGGTATGATGGGCTTACAATGTACCAGACTGATTGGGCAATTTCCGCTGTCCAAGTTCGTATTGACGGCTCAGATCCAGTCAACCTGGTCATGGCTGCGTTAGAGAAAGGTGACAAGAAGCTGTATGGCACATTTTTGCCTCTTGGAGAAGAAGGCTTGGCGAAGGCAAAGGGCATGTGAGTAAAGCTCCTTTTTCTCAGTTTGTTTCGGGATCTGTAAAGATCGCTGTCGCTTATTTAGTCCTTGAACAGACACCGCTGGGACTGGAATATGACTTAAGGAGGCCTTACCATAACGGACCTGCTCTTCACTTTCGAACCTTTGCATATATCATCAGTTTTTGTATGGTTCATTCTGGATACATAGGTACGAGCTTGTGGTACCTAATTTTCTGTCTTTTTACTTTCCTTCCTGTTAGCCTTCCTTCTGTCATATCAGTTCTAGCACCAACGGGAGTGTAGAAACCTGAGCCTGTCCATGATGTAATTGTTAATCTCGGTGTCAGTTTCTATTTGTATTTAACAGTAAAAGAGTAACGATCTATACGAAAAGTTGGTAACTATCTTTACCATAGATAACTACTAATTAACTTCAAGGCTTAAGTAGGGTTTGGCAGCCATCAGCACCTTACGCCAAAATATTTGAGTTAGGAGCTTAAGGTCAAGTGTGAGCCCTGAGCGGTCTATATATTGCTGGAATACACCTTACTAGTGATCAATCCTGAAGCACTGATCACCGCGTTTGAGTATTGGAGTGTTAAGAAGAGGAGGTGAATTTAGCACTCTAATTGAAATTCGAGTTGGTCTCAAACTAAGTGAGAGGAGTGTAATGTAGAGTCTGATCTGAGTGTTACTTTTTATCGCCCACCTGAAGGTAAGTGGGAATGGGTTAAAGCAATGGCTGATGCTTGAGAGTCAATGTGCTGGTGCTACATATGGAAGACATCTAGCCAACTACTGCAATAGAGTTCAAATTGAAAGATTCCACGTACCAGTTGGAAACAGCTGGATTAGAGCGGGAAGTCCTGGTTTGTGAGATCTCCAGAAGCACTAAATGGTAAATGGTAAATAATGGTAAATGGTAATAGATCAAGCCCGGGGGACCCAAAGGGTCAAAAGGCTGAAAAACACAATACAAGCCACAATCACAAACAAGGGAAAGACCCCAAAGGCCAATCCCTAGCTAGTACCAAGAGCACTAAAATACAGTGATATCTCTGTTGGTAATTTGTTATATATTTGTTAATACGTTAATAGTTGAATATCATGGTCAAAGGTCTGGTATAGGAACTGACTGGACTTTCACTTCGTCCATGCAGCTCAATTTTGGCTCGTGATTTACAGTCCGTGGTATTTTACGACCAGGAGGGCAAGTTTGTCGGGGTTCGACGGCCAGGCTCAGGTCGCCCTATCGAAGTCGATGGAACCAGTATTGTTGTGGACGATGTCATAGGCAGCTCTGGTCTAGAGTTGAAGGTATTGATTCGATCCACAACCTTGTAGTCGTCATGTCGATGGTCAACCTGCACGTTCTAGCAGAGAATTAGGAAATGAATGAAATAGTACAGTGTAAATTGGAGAGATTGACACTGCCTATTGTACACATCGCTTAAGTATAGACTAGGAATTAGTTAGATGCAACATGTTTCCAAGTACCTTGCGTTCGAAGGATAAATCTTTAGAGAGCTTCTACCTCTGTTGATGTTTATAGAGATGTGGTGGGTGATGAGAGAATCCAGAGTCCTAATGTAGGCCCTGTTCAAGACGTTCAAGAAATGGAATGTGGTCGTTTCCTTTTGAAATATGTCTTTGAAGGCGGCCAGCCTTGATCTCTTCTTACTATAAAAAGGTGAGATGGTCATTAGTAGTTACGTTAGCAGGTACATGTACACTAAATCAAACCTACATGCCTGTCTCACACTGTGATTGAATATGCAGATGGATCCAGGGGTTCCTGTAGTCTATGCGGGGTTCGGTATATTGATGCTTACAACATGCATCAGCTACCTCTCTCACTCTCAGGTAAACAAACGATCATATCTACGTTGTAACTCGATAAGACTCTAGCTCGGTAGATTTCTGCACACAGTTAGTCTGCGACAACAGCCTCATGTAGCCGTGTGCTCATGCGTTATATCCTGAAGGTGATACTGCTACGTAACATTAGAATAGGTTCCCTTACCTACGCAAGAAACCATAATACATAATATCATCAACAGTTCGCCACCATGATTTTTAGACACTACTCTGCTCATGTTTGAGTGGTGAACCCAACTGCCTTGTTTGCCACTGAAAGTTTCATATGTAGTTTTGTTTATCCTCGCTCACCGGACCAGTGACAATCGCGTATTCTGGAAGATTATACTACGAAGAGATTTTGTCCCTGGATGGATGATAGCACTAGCTGTGGTTGATTTTCCTGCCGATGTTCGCTTGAAGCGTGGAAGTTATTTCTTGGTAAAGCGTCCTTGACTGCTCTGTTTAGACAATTTTAGGCTAATGTATCCATTATTGTGGAGATAGAGAGAGCAATAGCTAGTGTCTCCACAGGAGAAAAGTCATGGTAGACGAGGATTATCTACCTAGGTATCTTCCCTTTCTATATTACTTACTACCTCCATACTTATCTGCTAACATATGTTCTGGTTACATGCAGATTTGGGCGCTTCAAGAAGGGACCAATTTGGTGGTCGGAGGAAAGAGCAATCGCGCAAAGGTGGAGTTCGAAATCGAGCTGAACAAGATTTTAGATCTGGTTCCGGAACTTACCAACTTTGAAAATGAGAATGTGCTTGTGAGTGCTAGTAATAGTGGTGTGACAATAGCAAGAAGTCCATCAGCGACGAACAATTTCACTGAAAAAGCTGAGAAGCAACCAGTCGATTGACCACATTCTTTGTACAACACATAAATGTATTTAAAGCTTATTTATTCCAGATTACTTCTGGTCCGGAAGCAAGAGGGTGTGGAGGGTAATGGCCGCTCCACAGAACCCATGTAATATTATGAAACCGACAATTCTTCCTTTCTGTACTGGCGCAAACAGACGAAGATCAGACGAATATATCAAATTCGTCTTCATAGAAGCGGTCCTTAGAATACAGCCTCAACCTGTTGTGAACATCATTCTTTTGTAACATGCTGGGAAGTCCGTGTCCAGACCCTGGTTTGATTGGGTGACTTTGACGTCATGCAGATGCTTTACTCGCAATGCATCCTGTCTCTTGATGCTTGGCCCACTTTTGTCCCGAGTCAACATCTGATTCCTCTTGGAGTACTTTGACGTGCTCGTATTACTCTGGTTTTTGACCTTTCGATAAAATGGATTCGCCCTTGAAATGAATGTGGACGAAGTCACAGCCATTCTAACGACGATGAATTATCCTCAACTGTGTGATGCTGAGGTCTGTGGAGTCTTCTGCAAATGTGCGTCATCAGATTTTGCGGTCTGCAGTGATGCGTATGCCTTAGAGCAAAGAATGGAAGCTGAATTTGTGTGTGTATGTGCCCAAACCCAACCACTTCATCCTCAGCCCTCGTGTTGGGCAAGTCGACTAACACCCTCATTTCTTACCAGGTCTTGCATTTTGCTGTTAGCCTCCTAGAATGTTTAAATATGTGCTGCTCGTGGTCGGTTATGTGCAGTTGCCAATGGGATCCGTCATTTCATGCGCTCCTGCTTCGTTTGGTTATTGGAGTAGAGGTAAGTCTTCTGCTGTGGATCAATGTCATCGAATGTGACGAAAAAATGATCCACAACTATTAGTGACCTGTCGACATGTTGCACGAATGAATCAGGGGCTTTTGTATCAGGACTCCCTTCTCGCTCAATGTGGGACCTACCGCTATCGCCTGATCGATTCGAATATGTAACTATCTGATTCAATATTCTGGTCTTTGCCAAGACAGTGTCTTCTGTGAAGTCAGTTTCACTTAAACAATTGGTAATTTCCGATGTGGACCTCATTGATTTCACCGATTTGTATGATTGTATTCTTCTAAATCTCTCAGACAATGACTTCTTGCACGTGCACTGCACCGGGTCCCTATATACTCATTTGACTCACTGCAGTCTGAGATGTGTGAGGCTCCCAAGGATGTCAACTTCAGTCAAAGCTCCAGTTATGGAATAGCAACGGTTTTTCTTTCGTCCCCTTCCTTGCAGGCCAAAAAGTTTCCTTTGAACTTCAAATAACTGTTGGTATCACAGGTCGCCCTTGCAGCTCTTATTTATAATCATACCATTGTTTCGGATACTAGACTAAAAATCTTCAGGAATGACACATGTGCCTGCGATAAGCTCACGCTTTGCAAATCTTATTTACTACCAGAATTCACAACCATAACCATTACAAAATTATAACAAGATTAGTCATACTCACGAATGAAATTAAGTGAAGCTCTACCACATGAAGAAAGCTTTGATCCTGTGAGCTTTTTAAATCTTTAGTTCTTGTCTTCGCCCATCAACGTTTGAGCATATTGCAGTAAAATTCGACCGTTTCATCATACTCAATTCAAGTTAGATGGAACTTGCTTTCCAGCATGTATGAAAGGTTGATTTTATATTCTTTGATTTTTTTAATATTATTTTTTGACGAACAATGTTGATACATAAGTTAAAATCATAATATTAATATTGCTACAATCAGACAAATTTTACAATACATCATGAGTTCAAACTATAATTTCCCACTTATATCCAAAATGTGATGACTTCTGTATAGTATATTCAATTGATTTGACATTTATGTGAAGAAGAAGATATAGCCATGTGAGGAAGTTAATGAGTTGCACTCATACCACTACTACTCATAAATATAGTGTGATCTTTCAACCATTTTATCCTTCCCAACCGTGATCACATTAGCCTCATCTTGAAAATGGTTGCAAATGTTTATCAAAGTAGCTTCAGCTTCACAACTAATCTAAATAAACTATTTAGCAATCTTATAATACAATCAAATGATTAAAGTTTTATTCGGGAATGATAAGAGAAAATAAATGAAATACAATCTTCTTCATTAAACTACATGTTAGATCAAATGATATATTATAACATTGAGAAATAAATTTGAAATTTTACTCTTTGATGAAATTTATTATGACCCGTTTAAATGATAAAATATAATTCAACTTGAAAAATTATGAGAGGAATGTTACTGATCTTGCAAGTTTAGATCCGCGATATTCAGATAAGATGAATATTAGTCTATTTGCTTCATATCATGGTTTCCCATTTATTAGATAGGTTCCCTTTTGCAAGACATATGTTTATGTCTAATTAACTTCATAAACGGAAGTCTAATTCTAGCCACTCCAAATTAGGGACAATTATGAAATCACAGTTGGCAGAACGATGAGATGAATGTCCAACGCTCTTCTCTCCTCGATTCAAGATCTTGGATCCAGGTTACAAACTGGTCTACCTTTTCGAACTCCAGTAGAACAAAAAATAATCTATCTATACTCAACAAGTTTGAATTTATTTGTGCTCGAGGCAGGCCCGCGAGCCCAGTAACTCGGCACCAGTGGCACTGAAGCACCTGTATGTCACAATATCTCATGAATTGATTCCAATTCCCGAACCGCACATGAAATCTCAAATCCTAAACGGCCCAGATTGGTTCAATCGCGGAGTTTTTTGAAGGAGCTCGCTGAAATCCGTCATGCAGCCCTCGCTTTTGTAATCCCGTGGGATAATCGGAACGACGGGCAGCGAAATAGTTACTTACGGTCGCGAATCGTGCGACCCTTTCTCGATCCCTAGGGGGAGGTAGATCCCCACCTAAACAGTCGAGGGCACGCTCTTCCACGTGCGGGTCTGCTAGAGCATCGGAGCTAAATTTACACCGGCCCATCCCCTGTAACTTCTACGACTTATCCCTCCCCCGAATAAGGTACAGAGCATTGCCGGTCGTTAGAGTCGGGCAGGGCAGGGCCGGGCAGGGCAGGTGAGCAAGATCGATCAGATTCCTTCACGACTTCCACACTTGGCCCAGACCTCTTGCTTACTTGTCTTCACTTAATATGGCATTCTTATCCGACATTACTTGACCGACACCTGTACTGAAGTCGAGGGATAGTGGCGAGCGGCGGGGCGGGTCTTTAAGAACTCGTACTTGTTGTCTCCTCAGGCTTTTTCGCCAAGGCAGGGGTCCTCGCCTTCTGGAGGCGACTCTTCCTTCAACTTTGGGCCCTATATACTATTGCAATCACAAGGGGAAATAACCAAAAGGGTGAGCTAATTATTCAGAAAGTAGTTCATTAATAATATATCAATACTAATTGATAAAAAAATTTGACATCATCACTCCATTTTTTTAGTTCGTTCCATATCTCTACCAATTCATCTCATAGTTGATGGGTTATCGCATACATTCAATCTGCATCGCCATTTGATACAACAAGCTGGTAAGTGGGTTTCACCTACCCGGACATCTAAACTACACTGTGTGGTTGTATGTGGACCACTGCGACCTGACTCGCCTACTCACAAAAATCGTGTTTAATTATCACATAAATTGTGAAGTGTGGTTGGTCTCCAACTATACGTACTTGCAAAATTGGGAATATCAATGAAAAGTTCTACATGCTATGAGACTGAATATCATTCAAATTGTACAAGAGATATTAGGTTAATCCATCCGGTCTCAACGTCCTTTGACAGTATTGCTGTAATGAAAGATAAAATAGAAAATATTTCCTTTGATTGTTTTACTTTTATATTAACAACAAACGATCATAAGCACAACATGATATAAAGTTTACTTTATAGATATTATGTAAAAATTCACTTAAAAAGATAATTTTTTTCAACATCTCTCAATATCAGCATAACAAGTGGTTAGTACAATGATCAATACAAATTTTAATCTATTTTACAGATTTGTGAATATTTTCAAATAAACTATGAGTATCATATGACTTAATTTTAAATATCGATAATTTTATGTATGAAAAATATGTTATGGAAGAAGATGTGTTCAATGAAATGACTTGATATCATTAGAAGAATTCATATAAATAATTATAAAGCTCGAGTAACAAAAATTCCAATAATTATGTAGAACATTAATTAAATCTAAGTTGAAGATATACAGATATTTTTACTCTTATAAACATTTTGGTGTAAAACATTAATAAAATTGTGTAACCAGATAGAGAGCGGAATACGTAGAACATTTTTTGAATTCTGGGATCTGAAAGAATTTTGCAAATCACCTCACAAGGACACCTAAATTAAACAACCCCAGCCTCCAATTCGTATATGTAGGTAAAAGTATTTCTCGGACTTTCAAATTATAAAATACCCACGTAACTATATTGGCCGAACTGACCATGGCAATCGATTAAGGCAAAGCGTGAGTCAGAAAATCAACTGATATCATCAAAGGAATCGGAATTCATTGCAACATTGGTAAAAGAAAGACAAGACATATCCGTTAGAAAGGAGAGATTAAAGACATTAGTTGCATATCTCCATTTCTCAGACATGTCATATGCTGGCCGCCGCTCTTCAAAAATAACTTTAAAAAACGAGATAATTGTTATAAAAGCGGAACACACTTTCCAAGTCTTGCCTGAAAAAGGTGGAATGCAAACATCCTTTTGGTTTTTTAGGAACAAATATCTACACGTTGGATAACAGAAAAGCTTGTGAGAGTCAAACTTAATAGTTTCATCCTCACTGTAAATCTTTCGTCTGTTAAATTTTACTTTTTATCAGGATCTACTAGCAAGCATAACTGCTATTTATTTTAAGCGAAGAGGTGATTATAGGCAGCAGGAAGATTTCATTCTGACCATGGATGGCTTAAAATAATGAGACTGGCTTTTTTCTGCATCAATGATTATTTCTTGTATCTTTCTTAAAGCTAGGAAGTCAAACATTACTGCGAAGTCTTGAGCTAATTTTTTTCTTCTAATCCTGTTTCATTTTTTGGAAAATTGATTATATTTGTTGATAAAATTCAATATTAAGTTCTTGATTTGATAACTAATCAGTAAGGGGGCTAATATAAATCTAGTGTATGAAACTCTTCACTTTAAAAAATAACACTCATGCAACTAAAGGAAAAAGTGCCACAGAATTACATCAACTGAATGGGACGTTCAACAATATAATTTGAACAGAAGCAAACAGGAACATAAATTAACGACAATGGTTAATGTTCAAAGAGCTCTTAGCTTTAAGAAAGTGCAAAGAGGTTCCGAACTTATAAAAGTGGTATTTCCATTACGTTGAAACTTTAAGCGACCTCCAAAGGAAAGGGCCGCTGTCTGGAGAAGAGGACGAGGGCAACCGGTGGGACCCCGAGCGACCCATCGAACAGAGCTTTTGGTCTTCCAGATCTGGAGGCAAAGTATGCGGTCCGAACACAACACTCAGATTCCACTCCGGGCAGTACGGAAGCTGTGGACAGTCCAATTTTGGAAGCCTCTGCAGATTTAGACACCACTCTAGACGTTCATTTACCAGCATGGCAGTCCTTGTCGCTGCCAGATATTACTCCGAGTCAGCATCCACGTCGGAACTAGGGCTTGCAGTCGTAACAGGGTCTTATCCAATGACAGTGACCGAGCATTTTGTACTAGCGCCAGGATAAGCACCGCGCTTGCTCGCAGCACGCTGCTACTACTTCAAGTATCCCTCCCACTCCTTCGCTTGTCTGAGATCCAGTTGTAGGCGTCCCGATCAGTCTCCAGCAATCGACCAATTCTTCGAGCTCGTTCTCGAGAGGGCGTTCGGCGTCCGATATTCCGCTTCTGGTTCTGGTAATGCTCGATTGCATGCGATTGATGCCCGTAGACGAAGTAGTCGTCGCATAGGAGGATCGCTCGGGTGGTGTCATTGGCTTGAACTGAGTGGAATTGCAGGCTTGCGCGTCGGTAGTTGTGAGGGGGGTTTCCTAGGTCTTTGATCTTCTGCTCTGAGATGTTGATCTTGATTTGAGTTGGTGCTAGAGTTGGTGGTTCTTCCGGAGAATGCGAGTTGAGCTGGGAGTTTCTCTAGTGCCTGTTGTCGGTTGCAGATGATATCGGAGGGAGCAATTGTGTCTGGGGTGGTTGTTTTCGTTCTGTCGTCAATTGTGGGGATAGCTTTGTGTTTTGGATCAGCGTTTCTGACAATCGGGATTGCAATTTGCATGCAGAGGTTTTGTCAAGCTCCCGCGAAAAGGTAACAGATATTAGTTCAAAATGCAGAGTCTCACGAGAATCATCCAGTCTCAGGGAAAGGCTATCAGTGGCGGGGTTTTGCAGCGTATGTCAGTAGCGACTCGATCTTTCTCCGACACCAATGCCTCCCAGAAACTTGAGGATGTGGGTTTTGAGAGCACCAAAATTTCAGATATCTTGAAGGACAAGGGTGACAAAGCGAGCGGCGCATGGCTCTGGTGTTCAACCGACGATTCAGTGTATGATGCTGTCAAACAGGTAAAGTCCTTGCGCTGTAGAACAAACTTGCTCATATATTCGACTAGGTGGAGAATAGGAAGGATCTGGTCTTCTTGTTGTTAAGAGCCGTCTGCCCATCTTTACATGCAGCTGCGTACTTGCTACGGCGCCATTCTTCAGTCTCTTGTGAAGGAACTAATCTCCTTTTCTAATTAACTCTAGGTCCAGTTTAAGAGTGGAAAACTCCGCTGTCTTCTGGTTTTGTCATGTATAGAAAAAGACATTCAATTAGTGGCGGTATGTGCTACTTAGCTCCATGAAGAAGTTACTGAGGTCCTGGTTGCCAGAGTTGGTTCATGTACATGTGGCTTGGATTCTCGATCCTGGTCTGAGCGGATCGTGCCATCCGACCCCGCATCTACACCTTGTCGATGAAGGATTATGTGTTCTAAACTTTGAAATGCCGATGACATTGTGGGCACATATTTTCTAACTCGCTTTCGTGATGATGAGCAGATGACCAGTCACAACGTAGGAGCGCTGCTGGTCGTGAAGTCCGGCAGCAAGGAAGCCATTGCCGGAATTGTTACTGAGAGAGGTAAGCGGGACGCAAGCTCTCTTTCCTAGAGCAATTCCCGTCTGAATCTGCTGTGAAGTTACTCTTATGAAGGAGAGGCTTGTCTTACATCCGAAGTCCTTTGGCTAAACACCTATACACCCACCGATGGAGTATGCGCGCTTGCAATTGCGCCGGTCTTGCTCTAGCCTCTTAGTCTCTACACATAACTCGGTATTTACTAGCGCTGTCCATTGTCATCCTTTCGTGGATGGCATACCCAGGTTCTTTGTTTCTCCCGATGTAGTGCTTTCTGCTTGAACTTTGGCCAAAGTCATCTTCTTTGAACGCCCGTCTCTTACAATACGTGCAGAATACTTCCTAGCTCAGGTGATCTGTCACTTTGCTTCGAAGATATGGGGCTTCCTGTATACCTCTGGAGCTTTCTCTAACCCCGAGATATCTTCAATCCAATAAAGCATAGAAGTAAACCACGTACCTGACAATCACGGTTGAACAAAATTTATGCAGATTACCTGAGAAAAATCATCGTGCAAGGACGATCATCTAAAACCACCAAAGTTGGTGACATCATGACTGAAGAGGTAACCACCGTTGTGCACGCCAAGATAGTGAGATTAGTAGTTCTTTCAGGTTGAGTTCTTCATTACGATTCTGTATCATACTCTTTCTTCGATTTCATTTCAAACTTAGGCCTAGAAATTCAATAGATCTCCGCATCGATAGCCCATTCCCTGCATATTCCTCAAATATTTCCTGTGTCGCAAAAGCTTATGTGTTTTTGACTCTGCGTACTTGGCTTTGACTCTTATGACTTAACCTTTTTGTTGTGTTGACATTATTTGACAGAACAAACTGATTACTGTGAAACCAGAGACAAAAGTTTTACGAGCAATGCAGCTCATGACTGGTACGCCTGTAGTCTGTGTACGAAAAGTGATGTTTTACATATGTAGAGAATGATAGTTTTATGTGGTCCTGCTGTTCGTTATCGCGTGAGCATGTGAGCATACATTTGTTTCTTACCATTGTGTAAATAGTCATAAGTGGCAAAGTTCTGAGTTCGTTTGGGCGGAAGTGTTTCAGTATTTGTTAATACTTGGCTGTCCCATATTTCCCACCAGAGAATCGTATCAGACACATTCCCGTCGTCGAAGACAAGAAGATGAAGGGCATGGTATCAATCGGAGATGTGGTGCGAGCTGTCGTAGAGGAACACCGTGAGGAGCTCAAGCGACTCGAGTCCTACATCCAGGGAGGCTACTAGAGACTTTCTCCATCCATTCCTCTTGCTAAAATTGGTCGGGGCGCCATGTATCAATGTGAACTTCAGTATCTACGTTGTACTGTGTACGTCTCCAACTCACCTGACCTTACAGGAGTGTGTACAGCTACGTTCTGTGGAGGTTTGATGGTTAGAACTCTATGTACGTAATGACTTTCCAGACAGTACCATCTACCTTCTGGGGCAGTATGTGGAGATCACCACAGCTAGCACTCGCCTTGAAGATGTCGAGCAGACCCAGTCTTAATGTTTCAGACAACGTATTCTTGTTGTCAAGTCTTGGTTCATGGACTCTGCGGATTTGCGAGCACGGGGAACATGGATTTGCAGCTGAGCTGCATTCACAGTGGCCAACAAGATTCCAGCAGCGATCTCGTTTCTGAATCAGGGGAAGAGTAGGTCAGTAGCGTAAAACTCTGATCTGCTACACCATTTTATAGGTGTATGTAGACGAGGGACAAGCATGTTCATGAGAACGAGGTGGACAAACCTGTAAATATGCAAAGGATCGCTAAATTTCAACTCTACCTTCTCTCTGAGGGTTGACATTGAACGACATATATAGCTGTCTTATCCTGTATTTATGTGTGCAACTCGTGGATCCAAAAGTTTTGTACATGTGATGGATGCATGCAGAGTGGAGGACCATTCAAACTGATATGTAGACAATTTGAGTCTATCCTTCTCGAAATCGGATATAAAGTTAGGAGTCTTGACACTAGCTATTCTACGTGTAAAGGCAGTGACGGCCAGGGCCCTACTTAGGAACCACTTGCATGAAAATGATTGCAAAAGACGCATTTGACCGTAACAGTTTTGAGCTTTTCATAGACTACTCCCCACTCCGACTGCAAGATCCTCTCCGCAAATCTCCAAATGCTTCTACCAATTTCCGTCAGTCACAGTTATTCCCCATCCGCATGCAGACAAGAACGAATCTAGGCATGTCTATCGGTGGGGCCTGAATGCTAGACCGGTATGGCTATCCGACAGAAGATGGATCTGAACCATGGACATGCAAGAATCGATGTTTGAAAAATTGACTGTCCCAAAGCCCGGTCGTGAGGCAGTCTTCCAATGAAATTGGAAGAGTTTTCTGCTAGACCTCGACACTAGGCTAGATCGAAAGAGCACGAAAGCGATTGTCGAAGTAGGTAAACCTGGGGATGGCCATTTCTGCGTGGAAAAAGTCACGATTCATGACCAAACAATCACGAGAACATAAGCCCGAATAATAACATTCTGCTCATAAAGGTTCCAGCATTCAGGATTGGGAAATTTCCCCGATTGCTAATTTGTCGCTGAATGTGAAGTTAACTGTCCAGGTAAACTTTGATCATGTACCAAAGCACTCTGCAATATGCGCACTGGATCAAATATTTGCGCAGGGTCGCAGCTAAAGTTCGGTGAAATTTTGACGACGGATGGGATTCATGACGCAGGGCGGACCGGCCTCTCTGGGCCATCCGGAGTCGAATTTGGCCAGGGTCTCCTCCTCCCAATCCTTGTCAGCGTAAGTCTTCGCGCAAGTTCCACCAAGAAGATGTCGGTTCCTGGTCAGATCCCAGCAAGCGTAGGCGATAGCACACGATGCAATAAGGCTAGGAATCACCGTTCGCATTGGCACAAGCTGAACTCCGGGCAGAACACCAGGAGGACGAGGTGGCCCCATCGCTGCTGCTGCTTTCAACCTGTCTGATTCGATGTGACTCGATGGAATTTGACTCGATTGACCGCCACAGCCGATGGGTCTGTCTGAATTTCGAGGCCAAGAAAACACGAGAGGAGAAGTACTTTCTAAACGCCTTTTAAATTCCAAGGCTAAGGCTGGAAGCAGTTCGAAACTGAATATATGAGAGACTGGCGCGTTGTTGGGGTGTTTACGTAGATAATTATAACAGAATCAAGAAGAAAGAAGGACCACTCGGCAACACATGACTCCCCGAAGGCTTGACAGCGACACTACTTCATCATTAACAGGAGTTCCAAGGCTACGTTTAATCATGACTCGTTACGAGCTTTTACATTCCAATCATACTTGGTTTCATGTTTGATACGCGTCCGTTAACTACTAACACCATTTACAAAAATGTGTCCCCTTCGAGGGCCCCATGTTCACAAGAGCAAAAATCTTGTTCTCACACGTCTCGCTTTTCATTTACTTCTCATTTGAATTTTCATTTCGCCTGCTCTGCTGGTCTAACATTAAAAATTTGAATGTTAGACCAGTAAGTTGGCGGCATGGAAATGCATCGTCGATGGCTCAGTTGTAAGTTAATTCTAGCCTAGCAGCAAGCTAGTCCACAATGTCCCCTTTCTTTGGGATAGTATACTGGCAGCCGATTGCGCAGCTTGTTTCGTTCATGGCTTTCATTCACTGCAAATGTACTAAATGAATCAACTACTTCTAAGCAATATAAGGTATATCTGAACGTGATGTGGGCAATAGAGATATTACTTAAGTGGCTATGAGGAAATGAGGTGAAGAATTCCTTACCTTTTCGACTGGAGAGACAAGTCAATCAGCAGGATGATGTTAATTTTGTTGTGATTAATACATCATACTTCCCAATTTTACTTACATGTATGTGTACACTTATGGCATATGAGACATATGAAAACTTTTCCATGAATCTGTTTTCTTTTCTTCCTTGATGCATGTTATAGCCTGGAGCCCTGCCATGTGCTAAACCCTCTGCGTTGAAGGGTCGGGGAAGCCAACCCGGTCCCGAATGCATCAACCTCTCCCAAAGTGTGCCCACTTTGGATTCAAACCCGGACCAGACAGCTGGGCCATCAAGCGAGATGCTATTGTTGGTTCTAGTGAGCTCATTAAAATTTCAGTTTCCGAATGTATCTTGGGGTTTACATGTTCCCCCATGGTCCAAGACAAAATGCTCATCTCCTTGAGATAGTCTACTCCTGTTACTTGTGGGACGTTTTCTTTGCACCGGTAAAAATCAACGCACAGCAGCAGACCTGCATTGACATATTATTACCAATAAATATAGAATTTAAGTTTCTCGACGGCCGTTTGTTTCTAGCAAGTAAGATGTCTTCCAAGAACACATCGAGTTTTGGATACTATGCTCATACTATTGGGAAAAAATGATGTAGGATACCTCGGAACAAGAGCTATACTTTATCTGCCTGGAGTCTAGTTCGAAATAGATGTCGAACATCTGATTCTGGCCTTACGGAACATGGTTAATACCGACAAATTTGGCTTGTTGCAAGAGATGGTCTCTGAATTGTTAGCGACCGTTATGGATAAGATATGCCATGATAAGATGTTTGCTGGCTTGGATTGTTTTATAGACTAGAGCAGACCGTATAAATCTGACGTTCTATTTTTAAACGCGAGAATTAGTCTCGCCAAAATTCAAAGACACAAAGACGGCCATTGGGAATTTTCGTGCATGCAGTCAAGGTAGCAATGCGTGATCCGAGAGAGCCCGTGAGTGCATTTGCTGGTGATTTGCGGATCTCGAAACCTCCGTGTGCTTCTAGGTGCCCAAATGTTTTGGTCGTTTGAAGTTAGCACGAGAGAAAATTTGCGCTCAAAAAACTTCTCGAATTTGTAGTTTGAAGTCAACAAGTTGACTAGAGCAAGTTGCACACGAAAAAGAAGAAGTAAGAAAAATATAGTTTGTTTACAATTCATTATTATTTTTTACTTCTCCATCATCAAATGGGAGAAAGATGATTCTAAACCCTATAACTTTCTTTGGCCGGTGTTATGCATGCGAAACAATTTGAAGAGCTAAAAACGATTATAGCCAATTACTCGGATGAAAAGTAGTGAAATTACAGTGTTGATGTCAAAAATGCCAGAATTACTTTAATTCTAGCAAAAAATTACACGGTCTGAACTAGAGTCTACACAATCTTATTTGAAGATTTACGTCCAACTTTCCATTCTTTCTATTGCATGGGCCTACGACTTGACGACATCTTGCGTTATTCGACCGGTGGTGATGAACAAAAAGCAACTACATCAAGCAAGTAAAATGTCGATCTGAAGTGAGTCATGAATTGCCTACGGATACCATCTTTAGTTGCTTGGTCTTCGCATTTTCTAATAAGGTGGTCAAAATTGGGTTTCTCGCTCTGTTGATTGATTACCATTTTGAGATCGTGATGGATTAATAGATGTTTCATGTGTCTTGAAAGAGTTTTCTTATCTACTGAAGTTTTATGTTTGATGCTCATCTTCTTTGGACTACGTGTGTGATGTAACATGAATCACAAACAACATGTTCGACGAAGTGTGGGTGTGCTTATAGCTGCATTATGTAGACACATAATTATAACTCTGAGGTATGTATTTTACTCAATAGCGGAAAACTATTTGTCTAGTCTTATACCCTGTATATATCAACTCCGAGGGTGACAATTATAATGATCATAATTCACAATGTCAATCCAAGCTGACTTTTGATGGAGCAGGGGTTCAAGAGAACTTCATGCTTTAATATGGTTATTTTGACTGATTATCTCTGATATTAGTCTGACCACCTTAACTATGTGTTGACACATAATTCAATCAATTAAGGAAGAAGTTCATTGTGATATAACGTACATGTAGACCTTTTTAATACATTGCACCGGAGGTGAATGTACCAATCGTATAATATAAAGATTTAATATAATGCTTGTTAAATGTTTGGTTTTCAGTTTGTCTCTATTGTAAAACTCTAATATCCAGTTAAAGGAAGTCTTTGAATTTTCTTGTAAGGCTAAAATTTCTTTAGAAGAATTAAATCAATTTTTTTTAATTATAAACTAATATATTATCTATTTGAAATTTTTTTACTAAATTTGTATGGATATATGCATTTTAATGAACAGCTCATATAAAGTACTTTTAGTCCACTTTTCAAGTTCAAAAACTTTTTCAGATTTCTTCACTTTGGGATAATATTTGAAACATATAACCTCAGACTGATAGAAAATCATATGCTGAAAAGGTTGAAAAAATATATAAAAATTCAAAAAATTCAAAACGTTCAACTTTCTTCTTTAAAAAATAATAATGCAATCTCTTCTCATTTGAGTGATTTGATCTGATTGGTGCTGGTTAAGAAATCAATTGAGCTGTCTATAATCATCTCATGGATGACACATGTAATATTTCTTATTAGCTACACATAAATTTTTACATATCCTGCAAACTATTAGATCACTCATTTGATTCGACATTTCAAGTAATAATTGAAATATAAAGTAAAAATTATATGATTCATGGTGACTAAAAACTGATTACAATCCTACTTTCTGTTGAGGAGTAATGACAAGAGTAGACATAAACAGGAAAAATTTGAAATGATATCTAGAACTGGATAAATAGAGAAAAGGATCAAATTTATTATATGTCACATGAGATTATATCAGAACATAAAAAATTTGTTGGACTTAGAATAAATTAAAAATTCATAAATGATTATACTATATTATTTATCAGGTTTTTCCCATTCACAAACACAAGAATTCAGGAGAATTGTATAAATTTGGCATTAAATTTACATTTATATATTTGTTTCATATAATATAAAAAATTTTAAATAACACGGTTATATTTAAATTATAACCTATGGATATTTAATGATTATGAATATTTTAACATAGCATGCATGTTCTATTTATATCCGATCATATTCAAATCATATCATTTTATTCTCATTTATTTATAGGCATTTAGCTTATGTATTGAGTTTATAATTATGAGATGCTTGTGAAGAGCTTTTATTACTGTTACTTAAGATAATCTAAGATTAGAAAGTTATGTAATTTGATGTATGAAAGAATTGTGGATTCCTACACTCAATCTCACCTGATCGACTCTGGTGTTGTAATTTGTAGTCAAATGTGCTGATTTATGGCTCAAAATAAATTTCAAATACGTTGTTATAATTCTGAGAGGGACTTTTGTTTCCTCATTTTGTGACTGCATGAGTATTGCTACTTAATGAGCAAACATCTTTATTACGAACTGTTCTTTACAAGCACATGACACATATAATGACATAAAACCTTTCGATTGTGCACGATTGCAAATGTGTTTGTAAATTAGCTAATTCTTCAAATACTCTTAGATTCAAGACAGTGAAGCCAATATATTGCTCTACCCGAATATTTTACAACAAGACAGTTTGTATGTATTCAAAATAACTGAATCACACTCCAAGAGTTTGAACGTCACAAGTCACTGCAGCGAGGATGCATACCGTAGAGTCGTGGACATTCTGGACTTTAAATGAAGCCACATCCAGGGAACTCTCAATAACTGAATCCAATACTGTGTAAATTAAGCCCGTATAGTGTGGACGCCTCTCGATTACGCATTGTGAATAAAGCCAAGAGTACAATAGTGAGATTAATATGAAACTTCCAAGTTTCAGATCAACTTTTGATTCCAACAATGATTCAGTCTGTCACATTCCACCCAAATGCCCGCCATTTAATGTGCACCCCATGTCCACGGGACCGACACTTGAGTAGCCTTGGTTGCCACTTTAAATGGGGGCCAGAATGAGGAAAATTCCGGGCAGTTCAATATTATGAATCGATCAGCAAGAAGCCGATTGCGAGTTAGTTTTGACAGCGTGGTACCTGCGCGTGAGCAGTTATTGTGTCGCGGTGATTGCAGACGTACTGGACCGAACTGCGTGCATGGGCCATGCCTCAAAGAATTCGTTAGACCCTGAGGTCGGGTCCCACGTCGGCTCTCGGGAGAGAAGCGGATGCGGATGATGACTAATTGACCGCTGGCTCTCATGTTTATCCCGCTGGTAATGTGTCCGACTCCGAGACCGAACGTGTCTAATATCAGAAAGGCACAGACAGGAAGAAGACGACGCTTAGTCCCAAGAGTGAGTGAGCTTTGGCCGCAGCCGCCGCTAGGCCGCCAGCCATCCCGCGAACACTCAGTCACTCGCTTGTATGAATCAATGAAGCTGCGGAACAGTTTGCCTGTGAGGCTGGAATTCTGAATGCTTCCACTCACGCGACGTAGGAATTCGATGTCACATTCCTTTAGTTTGTTGTACGATTCGGAGCGCTGTAATTGCAGGTTTTGTTCATGATTTGCTTTGTGGTCATGAGAAACCACTGTTTGGCCAAAAGATGAGAGATCTACGCTCACAGGAGTCGAGAGAAGTGGCTGGTGAAGAAGGTTTATTATCGGCTGGGTGGATGGATATTTTAGCTCGAGCCCACCTCAGAAAAGCAGTGATGGATGATAGAGGATTGACTAGATCGATAGATCGATGGGTATAAGTATGAGTATGGGTATGGGTGGATTAGTTTTAGAGGTCAGCTTGCACGCGCAAAGTATTTGTACAAGGAGGATGAGGATGAGAGTGGGGAAGATTCAGTAGATGATGATCGGTAGTAATCCTCCTGGCATGGTTCTCGAGAGGTTGTTGGAGATACAGGGATGATAAGCTCGAAGGGACGATGTAAATCTGAGGAGAACTTGTGTTTGGATAAAATCCAAGAGTTGTGAGTCGAGCTTGTGTACTGCAGTGAGAGAGGGGGAGATGATGGCTTCGTGTTCTTGGCCTGTACGCAGCCAAGTGCTCAGAGTCGTGGTGTGGCTGACCATGCTGGTGTTACTTCTGGGTATTTATCAGAGCTGCACATCTCCCGACTCGGTTTGGTTATCGTTTAGCTTCGTGGGATCGCGGCCATTTTTCTTGCTGGCACCCGAGTTGCCCTCTGACGGCCAACAACGACCTACAACAGATTTTCAGACGGCTCCTTCTCCATCGAGCTACGGACGAGAAGATGCTACTCGAATTCACCCTTCTTTGAATTCTTCCGTATCATCGGAGACAATGGCGAGGACTGGTAGTACGAAAGCTGAAGGTGCGAGGTCTGCCCCGACTAACGAAGTAGATGATAGAGGTGACTCCTGGGTCGGCGTTGCTGATCCAGACTTGAAGGAGAATACCGCTCTACCGCCAAGCGAGGAAATTCCTAAAGGTTCGAAAGATCTGAATAGTGGTATCAGTGAAGATTTGGATCTGCAGAACGGGTCAACCACGCCATTCGCTCGAACGCGAATAATCAAATATTTGGAGGAATTGGAGGTGTGAAACTAGATCAGATTCATTCGTGATTGTGCCCTCTCTGTCTATCTGTCTCTCTTTCACGACTGTGGCATTTAAATCACATCAGGTTGCAACTTAGAGAGATGACCGAACGAGTGATCGTTCGGTCATCTCTCTAAGTAAGCATAATATTGTTCAAAAGACTCACTTTATCAATGATGATGAATGATGTGATTCCTAAGGGACGGCGTCAGCGTGCAGTAGCATTTTGTTTCCACGTGAACTCATGTCTAATCAAGACGCTAAGTCCTGAAGATGCAAGATTGTCTTTACCGATTTTGACAGCTGTGCAGGTTGGGTGCAGAAGTCTCATCCAAGCAGCAAGAAGACCGAGCTAGAACTTTTGGCAGCAAAGCTGGCTATTCAAGCTGCAACTGTGAACGATGCAGACGCAACTCTCTACGGACTCCTCTACGACAACGTATCTGCTTTTTCCTTGTAAGTTGGTCTCATCACTTCCTGTCTTTCAGTGCTGCAAGAGTTGCCGCAGTTTTCGAAGCGAAGTTGATCAGCCGTCCTCGTTATGCGTAATATATCAAAAGGATGGGAAGACCTCGTCAGGTCTTAAAGCCATGAAACCACCAAAGGTGACCTAGTAAACGTAAGGACTTGTCAGTACAATGCACAGACCATACACTAGTTAGTAACCTGGATTATCATATCATCAGTTGACTGCGCATTTGAGTGGGAAGTAGTGAAATCAATGCTGTTCCTCAGGTAGCTGCTTCCATTGGCGGAGTCAACCTTTTCCACCCGTGAAGTATAAACAGCACACAGCAGTCCCAAGTGCCTTAATATCCTCTGTCTATAAGTGAGAGTACAGTGGTGGTATCATAAGTGTCAATAGTGGATATGCCTTCAGTTCTCGGCCACGTCCCCGTTTTGTCAGCAGGCATTGAAAGCTGCAGCCGCGAATATGGTACGAGCTCAAAATCCATTCCGAACATAATTGGCCAACAGTTGCAGAGTTGTGTCTGTGTCCAGCCCCAGAGTGAGACAATCTCACCCACGGTGCAAATTGAAACTTTTGCAATTTGTGTTGCGTGTGTGACATCCGAGAATTCAAAATGTATGTTGCCTGCCTGCGCGTTCAGAACACGGCATGCATGCATGCGATCGAGCGGTCTCACTATGCACAACTCTCCCATCTATCAATGCCCAAGGGAATGAAATCTACGAGTGAAACCTTCATGGCCTTTCACATTCTGTAGCTGGCAGGAGGGCCAGGCGACCATAGGAGTATATGGGAGGCCGACAAACCGCCCGAGGGCTTTGGTTTCGGCCTTCAGGCAGGGGAAGCGTGTGCCCGCTGCGCTCAATAACCGATGTTGGTACGTGACATCGTCGAGGTGAAATCTGACGAATTTTGTCGTCGTTAAGTGCAGGAGCTACAAGTTGATGGAAGAACTATTCCGAGTTTATGTCTACAAAGATGGGAGCAATCGCTTCGTCCGAAATGGCTCCTTGACAGGGATATATGCTTCGGAGGGACAGTTTATAGACAAGATAATCGGCTCGTGTTTCGAAGAAGACGATCCAGAAAGAGCGCATATGTTCTTCTTGCCATACAGCGTTGCAGAAATGGTGCTGAGCTTATATGTGCCTGATTCACAGGACATGCATCCTTTGATCAACTTCGTCACAGACTACGTGAACAACCTTGCCAGGACTTACCCTTTCTGGAATCGCACTGAAGGAGCCGATCACTTTTTCGTCGCCTGCCACGATTGGGTAGAGACTCTCTCGCTCTCTTAGTCGATTTCCAAAGTCCAAATTGACATCACTGACCTGAAAACGTCATTACAAAGTGCGGGTGAATATTGCTCACCCGCACCTCGTGATAACTTCGTCCCTATATCTTCAGAGGCAAATGCAGTAGCTGAAGAGCCAGCCACACCAGCTGAATCCAATGTGCATCAGGACTGTGCATGTGGCATTGTGGAATGCATGACGCAGTGTGGATTTACAGGTAGACAGACCTCTGCTCAGTGAGTAGGCACAGGAAGCTGAACCACAACTTTTTGACATATGGTGCTATTTCTGTGCAGGGGCCAGCTACAGCGCGAGATCAGCAACAGCTGAGGAACAATTCCGTGAAAGTGGTCTGCAATGCAGACATGACAGAGGAATTCGTAGTAGGGAAAGATGCGTCCTTACCTGAGGTCTATGTGCACAACCTGAAACCTCTTAAAGTGGGCGGTCCAGTGCTGAGCAAGCGAGCGTTTTTAGCATTCTTCGCAGGCCAGATGCACGGCCATGTGAGGCCTGTTCTTATTCAGCATTGGAAAGACAAGGACTCCAGCATGCGAATATATGAGGAGATTCCGAGGAACATTTCAAGGCGAATGAATTATGTCCAGCACATGAAAAACAGCAAATATTGCATCTGCCCAGCCGGATTCGAGGTCAACAGTCCTCGAATAGTGGAGGCTATATACTACGACTGTGTACCTGTTATTATTGCTGACAATTTTGTTTTGCCCTTCAGTGATGTGCTGAACTGGGATGCCTTCTCCCTTACTTTGCCCGAGAGCGAAATCCCCAACTTAAAAACTCATTTGCTGAACATTCCTGAAAAAAGTTACAGAAGTATGCAGAGGAGACTCTCGAAAATCCGACAACATTTCCTCTGGCACCAGCAGCCCGTCAAGTACGATGCATTTCACATGACGCTTCATTCGGTCTGGATGAGCCGCCTCAACCACATACATCTGTGAACGGTCTATCGATCGCGTCTAGTCCCCGAAGAAATTATTTCAGCTTTTATTGCTCTCATGTTTAGTCGCGAAGCTTGCTCTGGTTATGGATGACGACAGGAGCAAAGACATGTTTGTATGATATCATTAGATTATTTCGATGTACCCCAGCCACCAAGTAGTGGTCCAGTCCTCTGAATCCTGAAGTGCTCGATGGAATATGTGCGGGTAAACTCAGCCTTATTGTGTATTCTCTGTTATGTTTAGTCTCCAAATTGGCGATCAATGTGAACGCGTGTCTCGCATCACACTGGATAAACAAGGCGTCATCCCCCTTTACAAGCTTCAGACCGTATAGATTATTCGCCGTTAAGCCAAAATACTCGATGGATTAATTGGTTTTGGACACAAACTCCACCACCAAGTATCATGATGAAGAGTATATTATGGCTCGTCTAACTGGTCAGGTGACAAGCGATATTAGACGTGCCATCATAGAATAACAACCAAGAAACGGTCAATTTATCTTGTGTTGAGCCTTAAAACCGATCGGACCCACGGAACAGACATGACATTCATTTATATAAGACTTCAAGGGGACGAAATACGCATCTGTTCTTGGTTGAAACTTCGATATTGAAGCTGGCAAAATAGAGTTTTCGAATATCACTGCTAGTCGAATCAAATATGATGACAAGAATGGAAATAATTAATAGTTCTTGTGCTCTTGGCACTAGCTAGGGATTGTCCTCTGGGTGTTTGTGGTTTTCGTTTGTATCATGTTTTTCAGCCTTGTTTTTCGTTTGTATCATGTACGCGGGGTTGGTCTATTACCATTTACCATAAGTTATATCACTTCTTAATACTTTTAATTTTTTGTCTCTTTGTTATCGTTTAGGAAAAGAAATACTCTGATACATATCATCTTTGAACTGAAAAGGCAATGTCCATGTAAGTGTATTTCCCCGCTTCGTGTCCGTATATAATCTAGGTCCCTAATAACAAGACCTCGAATGAATTTTGCAGTTCCTTTGTATAACAAAATACAAAAGAATTTGGACAACACAAGACATTCTCGGAACTAAAATCATACGAACTCATTCAATCATCTTAAGCGCCAGACGATTTTTTATGCATAGTTAGCTCTCAAAAATTATTTGTCCTGCACGTGTCATGTCTCCTACACGTGCCTAGTACACAAATCGGCTTACGGCTCAAGCTTGACGACTGAGCTGAAGTGGATGAAGTCCTCGACGAGACAAATCTAGATGGTCCCATGGCGCTACCAGAAGTTGGGTGTAGAAAGTGGAAAGCAAAAACAAATTCAAATGAAACAAATGTCGTCTCTTACAAACACAAGCAATTTGTCCAAAAGAGTGGGAAGAACAAATCAGAAAGAAGAAGCACAACTCACTTTTCACTCTGAGGATTTCCAGGGGGCATCAACATCTCAGAGGATCCAATGCTACTTGATAAAAGAGCTAGTATGGTCATCGACAAGTTTTGGGAACCCGAATCGTTTTCTGCTGTCCCGCCTTTAAGGTCCACATTTCCAAAACTGCGCCACACGTCACCCGAGCGAGAATCATGATCTACAACAGTGTGGGTAGAGGGATTGGTACGGTACTAAGGATTGACATTCTGACGTGGAAGCACAAAGCGGTAAATTTTGCAGCACAGTGGAAATACACAAACTTTTCAGTGCACCATGACCAAGTGGATGGGAATTACCTCGCTGCGGACGTATTCCATGTCTGATTGTTTCGCTGTATGCCTGACGCAAAGTGATCTGTTTCCCGGTTCCACCCTGGACTGGTGGATTGTCAGAGACTCAGACTGAACCTCGGCTATCTCGGACGAACGAGGCAGTTCTGTATCTGGACAGGTCAGAATCCGCAAGTCGTCTGAGAAGACGAGTGTCTCCTACACTTTGGTGACCTTTCTTTCTGGCGAGTCTAGACAACTTTTGTTGTGAAAGGCCCGAGGCACAGTATATACTAAGGACAAGTAGTGCAAACGTGCAAAAGAGAAATTCTACATTTTTTCTATTTTTCCCAATTGCAATATTGAATCGTCGCATGAGGTGAGTTGATGTTTATTGAGTTCAAACGATACATGAACAAGTAATATTAGCACCACTGTGCAAAGTTCAGTTTCTTGTTAAATTTATTTATGTTTTAAAACAAATTCTTGTGGAAAAAATTCGAGATTACAAGACTCATTAATGGATAGCTACATATTGAACACTATATGTGTTATGGAAATTTATTTATTTATATACATACAATTTTCTTGTTTTTAATTTATTCTATATTTCCAAATGATACCATGCATAACTTTGATTGATTATTCATATATACATCCGTAATATGTAATAATAGTTCAAATAGTTTAGTGAATACTATCATTTTGATTCATTTTGTGTGTAGAAATATTTTATTTTCAATAAAATTATAAACGAATATATACGTATAGTATGCGAACGGAATAAATCACTATATGATAGTATATGTCCACTTTGAACTCCCAATTTACAACAAATCACATGGACCTTGGATCAACAATGGATTTACTCGTGATAATGCGTAACCATGATATCTAGAATGCCTCTTCAAGGAAATCTCACGTAACCTCGCCAGTAAACAGGGGCACCAGATTGCGCAATGCACGCAGACGAGGGAGCCAAACTTTGCGCGAAGGAAAGGGAAATCTCGAATATACCAGATAGCATTTAGAACGAAATCAGAATGTCTAAAATTCTGGCCAGCCGCCCCATCATCGGCCCCACTTCACAAGACATCGATGCGATGACTCGTTCGTCGCCATGAGCTTCGAGCCCGAGCAGGGAGAACGAGTGTCGCTGTTTTGGGTAAGGGCCACGAACGAACGAACAACTTTTCACCTAATCACGAACGTACCGACTGACCCCTTCGAGAACAGTCGGTCAGCCAGTCAGCCAAGAGCCAAATGACGCCACTGGGGAAGGTCGAGCACCCGGCCGGCGCCGGGAAGCGCTAATAATGGCTCGCTCACCCGCGGGCCTCACCATGCAGCCGTGCCACTTCACTCGGAGGAGGGCCGTGACGTGGACCGCCCGTTCCAGTGGACGCTAGGCACGTGAACATGCAACGTGCTGGCAGCAGGTCACTGCCTCCCTCTGCTGCGCACTTCGCAACCCGAATACGGCTTCTCCTCCATCCATCCATCCGTCCGTCCGTCCATCCATCCACCATCATTCCGTCCTCCCTGCCAGAAACTTCAGAAGTGAATGATTTCTGAATTGCTGGACTCTCTATGGGCCGGTTTAGTAGAACTCGAATTTCCTGAAGGCGAGCTCCTTCTAAATGTTCTCGTTCCATGTCAGCAATATTTCGAGAGCTAGTGTTCCGTTAGCTGAAATGATTCCGTCAGGACACCTCAGCTCCTGGAGTCCTGTCGCTTCAGTGGCTCGATCTGAACTGAACTGATCGAACTGAACTTATAGCCCCGAGAGAGTGAAGATGTAAGATTTTGTACAGAATCGATCAGTGTCGTCCCTGTTTGCAGTGCAAGAAGGTGAGAGAACTTCGCTTTCCGCCATATTGCTAGTCTTTCTCGAGGCTGCCTGCCCAGCCAGACCAGACCGTTCGAGGTAACTCGAGCTCTGGTGTCTCGTCCCGTCCCGTAAATTCTTTGAACACGTCTCTTGATCGTTTGCTGGAATCTTTCACAAGAAGTAGCTTTTGGGCCTTGGGCACGTCACGTTTGAATAATACTCATCACTGACGACGCGTTGTGTTCGTCTGTTGTGTGATCCGAATCCTCTCTGATTCAGAGTCTACAGAAGAGTTGCAAATTCGGTGAATTCTCTGGCTTTCGGCTGTCTCGTTGCCTCCATTTCGCAGTCAAGTGGGCTTCGAAGGTACTCTGATGTTTCTGCCATCACAATCCCACGTGGGTTTGTCCCTTCTCAGACGAGCAAGCTTGGGAATTTCTAGCTACCTGAGTATGTGCAGAAATCCCCTTAGCTTTTCTGTAGGTCATGCGATGCAGATTGACGATTTATGCCATCCTCTGTGCTTTATTGGGGACGAATCCCATCATACCCCTTCGGTTTCATGCCTGTACGACTCGATAGGGGATATTTCCTATTTATATCTCTTCCAATTTATGTCCGTATTAGCTGGTTCATATATTTTCTGCATGGAATTATGACAATTGAGGAGTTAAATAGGCCGTGCAGCTACGAGCTTCCTCAACCTGTGAGCTCTTGTTTGTTCTATGAGAAGTCAATTTTCGTTTGATTGGTGTCTGTTGCACGGTGCAGCAGATTTCTTTTTCTGGGATCATCCCGCTTCTTTTTTTTCATCTTCCATCCAGTTTCCTGGACCTCCGCAAACTGTCAGGGAGAAGTTTCATCAGAGCGAAAAATTGACAGGTCTCGCGATGTTGTTTTTGTGTATATATCTTCTTCCCACTAAGAAAGCTCGTGGCTGACTCTTCTAGAGCCAGAGAAATCAAAGTTCATATCGATCCACTGTGGGTGTGATATGGTGGAAAGATGAGAGTCGTAGACTTCATGATTTGCACTCCTTTACATCGCTAAGTTTGCGATCTGTGTATGAGAACTGGTCATGCCCAGCTGAGAACTTGGGTTAGCTTATCCCCTGAGTGAGCTACGGATGTGAAATCTTTAGTTCTTCAAATTCATCCTTAAAAAGGGCGGTCATAAATTTCCGATCTGTTCTGTCTTCTGATCATAAGTGGAAGGAATGTAGACCACGAAGAAAATTGATGATTGGAAAGTCGGTCACACCTTATGTCGAACTTAAGAGGGGTAAGACAGCATTTACGAAAGGAGACACTCTTGAAATTATGTGTAATTTCAAGTCACAACGACGTATATGGATGCCACATCCCTTGCCATTTTTGTCCCTTGTGTCTTGGGAACAGCTGTTTAGCTGAGGAACTAATCGTGTGTTGCTCAATGATATTATAAGATTATTTTCTTTATCTGTAAACGCTGTTAGAAGAGTGCTGTATATGAGTAGAGTCGTTTGGAAGGCTTTCCTGTATCTTACTGAGATCATTTGGGTTAATTTCTTCATCTGATCATCTGTTTGTATCCTCCATTCTGAGCAGGAGATCCCCGGGCGTTTACAATGAGAATCGACGACTTGGGTGAACGCTTGAAGATGGCGCATATAGCTGCAAATGGTGAACACCAAAGTAATGATGCTCCAGAATCGGCAGGGGCTAAAGAGTCCAGTACAGAAGAAAAGGGTGCCCCAGAACAAGGGTGAAGCTCTAGTCACAGCCCAGTCTCTTGAATCTTGTTTCTTGTCTCTTGAAACTGAATCCCCTGAATCAATGAATTTTTCTTTTTTTCTATTCGCGTTAATGAACGACATGCTTCAGCAGATGGTAATGCGTAGCATCTTTTCAATTTTGTGAGCCAATGCGATATGGCAGAATTTGTATACAGTTTCAAATTTTCGTTTGAAAACTACATCTTGCTCGATCTGATGTACTCTCTCTGCAGTCCTACAGGGCATTCTATGCTGGCTCCATTTACGTCGGGTTCACAACAAACCGATCTCCATCCTTTGGTCATTACTCGATCCGAGGTAGGAAGGTTATAGCCTTTGCTTTATGCTTCCGCCTACTTCTCTACCTTTTACACCGCTTGGTAGCAGATGTGTTAAATGTGATGTGCTTCACAAGCGCGAGGCTGTCTTAGAGGATTCTGTTCTTTTGTTCTGGATTGCTTTACTTTGTGATTATAGGTAACCTTCTCATGCTCCGTTTTTTTGGCCTGATTTTAAGGGAGTATACATCTATGACAACAAGGGTAAAAAGTATTTGGACGCACTTGCTGGGCTGTGGTGCACTGCTTTGGGTACAGATCTCTCACCTCTCCTGCGAATGTGAATTTGGTAGAGAGGTCAGACTCCTGTGCGATGATGTAGAGGACAAAGTGCCAGTATATGTGTCAGGTTATGGATGCCTTATCGGAGTATTATCTAGGAAATATTGAGCACACCTCACAGTTCACTGCTTACGTATGTAATATGAGCCATCCAAATATCAGTTCACAATTCCGGAGTTGTACTGAATCATGTTGTTTGGCTCACATTCAATGGTTGGAACAGCTTGCAAGATCTAGCAACCTTACCCACCTTATTGCTGTTAATCTTATTTGTACCTCTATCGAAACAGAATGACAACTAACACCTGAGCGTCTATTCGTAGGTGGTAATGAAAAGCGCCTAGTCGAAGCTGCATATAAGCAATTGAATGCTTTGCCGTTTTACCATTCATTTTGGAACCGTACAACCGAGCCCTCACTGGTAATGACGGCTTATAATTGAATGATTGCTGTGAATTTTTTAGTTTTGAACTATTTATTGCAGTGCAATTGTCATCGTGGTCATATATTACTATATAATATATTTGAACTTGTACAACCTGGTTCAGTGATCCTCACCATAACATACACGCTTTACCAGCAGCTCAATTCTGTAGTTTCATCATCTTACATACCCGTTACTTACAGAAATTGGCGGACGAGTTGGTTGATCTGTTCAAACCGGTAAAGATGGCGAAGGTCTTCTTTACTAATAGTGGTTCTGAGGCTAATGACACTCAGGTATATGTCACATTTGCAACTTTTTTCCCTAAGTACCTTCTGGAGTTACCTGAGCGCTCCCTCGAGTTTTGGAATTCTTATGAAAATATCTTGATATCCCCACAAATCTGGCCGACGTGAAAAGACTCGAAGTCTTACTCTCACACATATACTTTTGCAGGTTAAGTTGGTATGGTACTACAACAACCATAGAGGGAAGCCCGAGAAGAAAAAATTTATTGCTCGTGAGAAAGCGTGAGATACTTTTCGATACTCTTCTCTTTAAGTTTGAAATAATACTTACCAGCTCATAGTAGAGAATCTCAGACGAAAAGTTGCAAGTCGCAAGCATGATTGGATAGTTGTACTGTCCACCTATTGTTATCAATACTACGACAAGTAATTATTAAAAAATTGCTTCAATAAGAAGAATTCGACAGTCATGAAGGAAGTGGTTTTTCAAAAGCGAACTCTTTGTGCAGGTACCATGGATCAACTTTGGTGACAGCGAGTCTCTCAGGGTAAGATTGACCCAATCTTGACAAATGTATGAAGAGCTTGTCAGGACGCAAACATTGTCGCAGCATATGTTTTCAACCTTTTAACACACTATCGAAGTTGCACAAGAAGCTTCAATACAGAGATATGGACCTAATATGGGGTAAATTTTTTGTTCTACAGGTTGGCAAATCTTCAGAAAGGATTTGACTTACCCGATGCTTTTCCTTATGTTCTGCGCACTGATTGTCCACACTACTGGCGCAATCATTTACCAGGTGTGTATGGCCATGAGGATCAGGGATGACGCCAAAGAGCTGGTTATCACATTTCCACTTTTTACTCTGAGTCAGATACGGAACTTGAGTATTTCCTTTGCTGAGAACATAATATCAAAAGTGTAATTCATCTTTCTTACTTGTATGGAACGTTTATTCTACCTCTTTCTGCAGGAGAAAGTGAAGAAGACTTCGCAACAAGGCTAGCTGACAATCTGGAAAAGCTTATTCTTAAAGAAGACCCAAACACAGTAAGGAGCACCGATTAATTTCGTTCTTCATGTGGCAAAGGATCAATTATTGTCGTCTGTCATGTTTCAGAATATTTTTCTTGCGCAACTGTCGTTGCTCAATTAAGTTCCGACCGTCACATTAAATGTCATAATTTTCTCAAGAATGAAAATTTATTTTCTTTGATGTATGCCCGGAAAAAGCGTAGTAGCGTCTGATATCATTCGAATCTAACTCGTTTAGTTCGTGAAGTTTTAAAAAAAGAACTGTCCAAAACCTGTTCCACGATGTACACAGGACTTTTTTTTATCTGTTAGCAGGATCATTGTGAATTGTCCCAGGTTCTCACCCTGATTAATACAGTTCCAAACAGGTCATTTTGTAATTTGCAATCCATTAATGACATCAATCGTCCTTCTTGTGCAGATAGCGGCGTTTATTGCCGAGCCAGTCATGGGCGCTGGTGGTGTTATGCCACCACCTGCTACTTATTGGGATAAGGTAGTGTTTTGGTTGATCCTCATAGTCTTGATATTTCGACATTTACTCAAATTCTCAAGAGATAACTCAGATTCACCGCACTTTTAATTCGTATCAGTGGCTGAACGAAATATTATGCGATGAAATCTGACATAAATGAGAATGTTCCGTTCATTTCAAGTTCTATTCTAGAGTACAGTTCTTATCACTATCTGAAGAGATCTCCCTATCGTTGTTGTGCAGATTCAACCAATTCTGAAGAAGTATGACATCCTTCTCATAGCTGACGAGGTACATCTCCAAGCAGCCATATTACCTTCCAACGACGTTCTTGTTGTTAGGGTTGTACAGCTGGTAGTGGATTTATGCTCTAGGCCTACATGGTAGCCAAATCGGCATGAATATAACAATTTCAGTGCTGTGCTATGCCAGGTTGTTTGCGCATTCGGGAGGTTGGGAACAATGTTCGGATGTGAGAAGTACAACATCCAACCAGATCTTGTCAGCATAGCGAAGGTATAATAAGTTTTGTGGGAAGATGTTGCCAGTCAACTGAGTTACGATGGGGAAGGTGTGAGATGTTATGAATCATAATCTTCATGTGTTTGCACAGTTACTTGGCGCGAAGCTCATGATGTACTAATTATAAATAGTACTCTGGCAGTGTTTTTCCTTTAAGGTTGAGTTCAGCGCATAGATGCAGTGACGCAAAGTCCAAGGAATAGTATAAAACGTCCGGGTTGCCTATGTGACTGTATCAGGCTTTGACTTCGGCATATGCACCTCTTGGGGCTGTCATGGTGAACCAAAAAGTGTGGGATGAGGTCTCAGCGTTCAGTGACAAACTTGGTACGAACCATGTTCTCATACTTGAAAAAAGCGTTCTTCAGCTTCTCACCTTCAAGCCTAGAGATCAATAAACATGCTCCTCACCTAATCTGGCAAGAGTCAGCCAATTTATATTCATATCTTCTAAGATGAGCATTATCACATTTCGGTTGAGCATTGTAAACTCGAATTGGCCCCACTATTTCGTTCTATTTTGTTTTTCCATCGTTACTTTCGGAGAACATAATAGTCCATCGCGAGTTTTTATGATAGTTTGACCCTAACATTCGTTTGCGTGTTGGTTGACAGGACAATTTGGTCATGGTTTTACGTACTCAGGGCATCCGGTGTCATGTGCTGTTGCTTTGGAGGCCATTAAAATTTACAAGTACGGTAACTGCTGGACACGCTCAATCGTCGCGGTTAATTTACTTTGAACAACCTGTCGATTACTCATTTCTATGGTCTCCTTTTTACTAGGCCTGAAAGATGCTTAACGCTGGTGCAGGGAAAAGAAGATAGACGAGTACGTTGCATCGGTGGCCCCAACATTTCAGGATGGCATGAGAACACTAAAAGATAGTCCTATCATTGCCGAAGTAACCACTGAACCTTTCTCTTCTGTGTCCTTCATACAACTTACCTTTCTGAAGGCTGTAGCATGAAACGAAGAAACATTTTCTAAAGTTGTGAGAATTTTCAGATTCGCGGCACAGGACTTATCATGGCAGTGGAATTTGGAGACAAGGACCCGAAAAAGCCTTTTCCAGCATCTTGGGGTATGTCTCCGGAAATATTTGGAGCTGATTCTCATGTTTGTTGAGGCTTTTCTGTATTTGTTTATAGGTGTTCATTTCCTTAGATTGATTCCATTACGGATTCGACACTGGAAGGAAGTCATAAATAGAAACTCTCCGATTTAACCCGCTTCTTTAGTATAAATGCAGTCAAGAGTCAAATGGCATAAGAACAAAAGGGATGATATTCAGTTAGTACAGGAAGAAAAATTGTCAGCCCTCTGTTAGTTATTAATTATATCAAGACATACAGCCTTTAGAAACTTCAATGTGCTGTTTGTCCTGAAGGAGAGGATACTTGTTTGTAAAATATTCAAAGTGTGTTGCATGATGTGTCCTTCCAGGTATTGGATCGTACTTTGGAGCCGAGTGTGCAAAGTTAGGTTTGTTGGTTCGTGTATCTGGAGATATCATCATGATGTCTCCCACTCTTATCATAACAACTGATGAGCTGAAAGATGTGAGTACTTGGTTATGAATTCTCAAATCCTCAAACGATATCATTCATGCTATGATTCCAGTTTCAAGGATTTGCGAAGGGAAGCTGATGGTCAGTGTCTTTTGTTGCAGTTTATTCGCATGTTTGGGGAGGCTGTGAAGATCACGGAGCAACACGTGCAGGAATTGCAAGCAAAGCAATAGAAATGTCGGCACATTGTACAGATGGTAAATGAAAGGTGTTATCCAGCGTCGCATCTACGCACATCACTCAATTGATGTGTATTCAAAACTTGAATGATGTGTGAAGGAGGCTTCTTATGAGAGTATATCTGTAGGGAGAAAGTTCAAGTAAGATGAAAAACTTCTTCAATGTAACGCAAGAGCTATTTGAACCTCATCTCCATGTGGATATTGTAATAAGGAGAGTTCAAATGTGGTAAATGTTTCAAAGTCATGCAAAAGCGGTCGTGGTACAATCTCGCCTTCTGTCTTGAACTCTAATATGTTTTTCCAACTGACTGGAAATGTTAGTGCAGGACACAACAGTGTGATTTCAATCTATTGAATCTTAGATGGAAGTCTGCGGAAAGTAGATTTATCTTTTCTGACCTCATCTATTCTATGACCTCGTCTTTGAGTTTTACATGAACGATACCCTATCATCCGAGAATTATATGCTTATGCTTTACCTGCGAAGATTGTAACTTCTGAAGCTTTTTGTGGTGATCTGGTCCAAATCTTCCACTCTCTGTTTTCACCAACAATCGAAACACATCGGTTTCCGGCTTTTTTTTCCTTCATTTCTGTTCTTTTCCTTTTCTGTTTCTCGCGCTACTTTTCTCAACCAGTTTTGTCACTCTTGGTAGTGGATCAAGAACCTCGGGTGGAGTACGCGCAGTTATCTCTCTGTGTTAAGGAATTAAGCACAGAGGGTCTGGAAATATTAAGAGGCTCATCTGATGAGCGTGGTATGTCTGTAAGTACATTATATTTCGCAAAAGGTGAACTTGAGATGAAAAACTGATGATAGGTCCATAGTCTTTGGCAACATTAGTTTATACCGAATTTTTTTGATTTATTATCGTAACTCCTAAATGACCTAATCCACTGTGCAAACAGCTAAGTCAGCTCGTTGAGAATTATGATTTTTCAAATCTTTAAACTATATCATGTCTATGACCTCGAACTTTACATAACTTTCCTCCTCTCTTGGGTTTTGTTCTTGATACAGAAATTAAGCCCTGTGCGCATGCTCATTAATTTGGTCTAGTACAAGTCCTTTAGTGTCCAAAAAGTCATACATGGTTTGACTAAAATATATGATAAACAATCTAGAGTATATCATGAAGGTTTAAGTTACAACGCGACTGTTACAATTGTAACTTAACGAATACTAATCTTGATTATCATTTCTACCTATATAGACACATGGAAAGTCAGATAATAAAATTAACATTAGCATGGAAAATGGATTGAATAAATCACTATGATCTTACATACCGTAATTACAAATCTCTTCCTCCGATATGTAATTAAAACTTTTACTTGGCATAATGCTTGAAAATTTTATGCACCTGAAAAACGCAACTTCTAACTAATCTCTAGGAATTAAAATCTAAACTTGCAGTCTCCACATGCAATCATGTGAATTACAATGTACTGTCTTAAAAATGAAGCATCTACTCTGAAAAGCAATTTTAGTGAGATACAGTAAAAAATGAACGAGTATCGACAACCAAGCACACACTATAAACAGCCTTGTGACCCTAATCTTTGCAAAGACCTATCACGGACATTTAATGGTTGCCACCAATAGGAAGTTTATTATCAAAGTACAAGAAAAAACTTCAAGATAAAATGTGTTTTTCAATTTTTCCGCTTCAGGGTCAAGTACTGAAGCTATAATTCCCAATTCCTTCAAGTTGCCGTGTGGATGCCTTAAGAATGAAGAAGACTATTCTTATGAATAGTCTATAGAAGACAATATTTCCTCTCCCCGACATGTCTCATTTTCCAAAATCGAACTGAGTGAATATTTCTTGCCATTTCTGTTGCTTAAGAGAAAAGTAGTTAAACAACTTACTGAAATACTCAACTTGCACATAATCACATAACAGGTTGTGAGGTAAGATTGTCATTTCCTTAACCACTAAATAATGAAATATACGTTAGGTTCATGAATTCGCACAGTTCTGCTCAATTTCAAAGAGCTTCTTGGATTTGATAGCTATCGGCTACCATGTTGGATCAAAGTCACACTTATAGCAATCAATATTCGATTTGTTTAAGTCAATCTCAAACAACTCTCTTCGAAACGTTCATAGCTTTGAACAAGAGTTCCTAATTCCTGATGATGCGCTTTTTCACCTACTGGGCAAACTCTTCCAATTTGATTTCTCGGTCATTTTAGTCTTTCATTGCACGAAATGGTTGTATCTACTGAACGGGAGAAACAAGCGTATATTGTCGGTGTCTATGTTTTTTTGGGTGGAGGGTAATCAAAGATACGTCTGCTTCTCCCGCTCAGTAGGTTCAAACCACATCATGCATCGTTTGCTCCTTGCAATGTAGAGGAAGAGGAGGTGAAGGAGTAAAAAAAAAGTACTCCACTTTGATAGTCCATAAATCAAAAACATATAGATCTCTTATTCCAAAAAGCCCACGCTCTTCTGCCTTAACTAGAAAAGGAATGAGTAGAAGTAGGCAAAAATTTGGGGAACATTTACTGCATACCTTATCAACCAAGTCTGATTTTTGGGATAGTTGCTATGCGACTGTCTCTCTCTCTAGCGCGGTCAAATAAGCATGCAAAAATGTCATTTTCTTGCCCCGTCAAACTCGTTAAAGATTTGAGACTGTGCTGCTCAACTTTGAGAGTCCGGCACGTTAGCCATCTATCCCCAAAGAATACACATCGAAGCTCCCCAATCATGCCATCATCCATGACACCAAATGTAGCGACCCGGTTCAATGTCGCCCCTCCATCGCTTCCTATCGACGAACAGGACAATTTCCAGTTCTATTACACTCCATTTCTCTCCTCTCTTCTCTTCTCTCTCATTTGCCATTATCTCTTCGTCTCTTGGGCAGAAACCTGAGTATCATAGATGGGGAACGAAGCCTAAGCTTTTAAGAAAGTGGCGGTGGGGTAGTGACCTTTGTATCTTCATATGTCCAGTATATGCCAGAATATCTTCTCGTGTTGAAGGGCTGCGATAAATAATCAGGTGCTTGGGGTCGGCCAATTAGACACCTTGGATGCTCGGACATCATAGATGAGGCCGATTTGAAGTGCAATTTTACTACAGCGGTATACTGTAATACGGTCGATCGCGCGAAAGCAAGCTGTATCTGTTAGTATACAGGCGTGAAAATCCAGAACATAATGCCGAGAGGGAAATCTCTATTGGTCAACTGCAACGCAGATTTGAGCGGCGTTGAGCGGATTTTGTGCTTCTTTTAGACCAAGGTCAAGTGTTCTGGAGGGGAAACTTTGACAGTTGTCCATAACCTCCTTTCTCACTACTTGAAGTTTGTAGACTTAACCCTGGACAAAGTAATTGGCCCATCAAACTGATGATTGATCAAACTAGCCAAAAGTATTGTGAGGGCCATGGAGTATTGCATGTATAATTCAAGTGCTTTCTTTCCTCGACTACCTTACATGTACGCCCATCTTCACTCTGGCCAAAGTCTGGGCATTGGACAATGACATCACTTTGTGTATGTAACAAATTTCTTCCTGGAAACTTGCATGTCGATTGGTGGTCGACATTACTGTTAAGGGAGCGGAGGGTAAGTAATAAAGACTCGAGAGATTTTGTAGACATTATGCAGTAACCAAAAGTTGAGACTGAATATGTAATTCTCTTCTCTTGTAAGTTTCGGTTCATTAACATCTAGTTAAACAGTATTATAAATTGTGTCGAAAGATATTAATGAATTTGTTCTTTTTTGGGGTTTCAGAGTAATATTGCACACATCCAGATATTGCTGAAGACTTTTTGTTTCAATAAAAAAAAAAAAATTCTTATTTAAAGGAATATAGGAAAACGATAATGAGAATCAAAATAAAAGTAAGTCTATCATGCATATTCGTGATCTTTGATGAGGCTAGACGAACTTGTTGCTAAGTTGATATGTATTTTCATAAATGTATTACCATTTCTTCATATATTTTATCTCTAGTATTATTTCTACCTTATAAAACATGCATGATGAACATATCTTTAGTGGATGCTAGATTTGAAAAATATTTAGCTTGGGTTGGACTTCATTAAAAATTATGCATAGTAGTCACATATCAGAAGTCATAATCAGTCACAAAATACTTCAAAATTGACTAGACTGTGATTTGAAAGGATTATAATGAACCCATACATGAGCTTTTTATAATATATTGAAAAATATTACTTTGAAACCTAATACATTTGTATAATTTTTTCACATATTTTTAAATTCTATAAAATACCGTTTAAGATCTTGAAGTATTAATCAAAGAAATCATCTGGATAGAGTATGTTTTGCATAAAATAGAATTTTTTATAGTAAGTCTCAGTTAAAAAATGTGTATCCATTTGAATCCATTTATATTTGTTGGATATATTTTGGAAATATGTATTACTTCATTTTTCAAAAAGCAAGGCATAATTTTTTCTTGTAAAAAAAATTAATTAATTAGTTACTCTTTTGGATTATCATTCTTCTACTATGATGATTCTTCAGATATGAAGTTTTGTTACACAACCCTAGGCTACTATCTTTGACACTGAAGTCTTCTAACAAAACTTTTTCTATTGAGTTTTATAGTATCATATATCTATCATTTTTGTTTCATTGTCTTCTTAAAACATCTTTATAGATGTTTTAAAACATCTTTAATATAGATCTCTTATGTGTAATACTTGATAATTTATGAAAATGTAAAACCAACGTACATGTCTTTGAAGAGACTTTTTATCTGTCTAGCTTTAGAATTATTAAAATTGTATCATTTTCCTGTAGACTACCCACGTCAACTTCTAGAGATTCAATCTGTAGAATGAGACAGTTCACTTATATAAGATATGTGTAAAGTAATCATTAATTTGTTCATTACATAGGAGAGCAATGTTGCTAGGTTCTACTTTTTTGACGAGTTTTAAACCATTTGATCTAGAAAGAATGGGTATCTCAAATATAATCTGAAATATATACTAAACATACCCTCTATTGAGAACTAGTCCGATTCAACATATTTATTTCATAATTGCAGATTTGATGGGGAATCCAAAATTTATGCTATGTTACTTGGTATTTGATGTTTTGCTTGCTGTTTGAAATGAATCCGACAAGATACCCCAGTTTGGATAGATCTCCATGTCCAACATTCGAGTATTGAGTTCAGTTTAAGTGGTATATCGTATATTTGACAAATGTCGATACACGATGTTAGCGTGTGGTTGCGTACTTGTAAATTAAAAGAGTGTACGTTTGGCATGAAGTTCTTCCGTGAGAAAGTAATCGCAAACTGAGCTGTTAGGGACAGAGTACATATATGACATATCTTGTCGAATTTGTACATGTACAGATAAATACCGGAAATAGGAAATAGGAAGTAAAGTTGCTTACCGATATTGACGCACAAAATATATGTTGTGTGCATTAAATTTACCTTCTGCACAAAATTTGTTTATGTCATTTAGTGCCGTCACGTCTTAGTTGACAATTGATATATTTAACACACGGGTTTTTACCTCACGAGAGATAATAATATTATTATCATCCTAAATATTTTATTTTATTTTATTATTATATATT